CATATAGATATGCATGTACTGTGTGCGCAGATACATAAGAGGCTCTTCAGCACCTGTTCACATAGCAACTGGCTCTCAACCAGACATTTGGAGAGGAGGAGTGGGAGGAAGAGAGAGAGAGAGAGAGAGGAAGGGAGAGAGAGCAGCAGAGGAGGTGGGAGGAAAAAACACAAACGGACTCAAATTAGAGGCTTCAGGCTGAACTGTAATACACACGAGAAACTAACTTCAGCTTCTCCCTATTAAAATTTAAGTTCAGTCCATGTTATTGCCCTCAGAGGCTGATTTCACTTCTAATGGAGCCGTGCTGCTGATTTTGGGATTCACGGTGTCATTAAGAAGAAAGGCTTCAAATTAAGCTTTAAATTCAAAATTTTACTTGGGTATTATATAATAGAGATTAAGACACATTGCTTGTTGACTGTTTTGAACATATTAACAATAACAAACATAAAGCTATATTTTTAAGCTGTAACGTCTACCTCCTAAACCTAGATTAGTCAGCACAGTGATCACAAGTCACTAACTTGTTGATGACCTCTGCTCGTGGTTATTGCGACATGGTTTCTGTACAAAGCATGCACCTGCCCGCTGTTTGATGGTCGGTTGCGAAAGATGTGGCATCTCTAGAGTTTTGAGTGATTTTGTTTTTGGATAAACCAGAGACTTTTCGAGCACCCATCACCTTCTGAAGGTTGTGGCACCTCCTCCCTTTTCTCCAGATGTGGCCACAGCAGCTCAGTTTCCAGCTTGCCAGGAAGGTAATTTGTCCTGGAAAATCACTTGTGCGTTGTGCGAGGCAGTTGAATTAACTATGAGAGTCCTAACTTTTCTTGTGACTGCTAATTGGATGTATCTTGACGGTTGCATCATTCAGGGGTCTGTATTGTCATGCTCCGGTTCTGCTTTTAAGTCATCTGATTCATGAATCACACAAAAGCTAATTCTTTGCCATAGTAGCTTCAGGCACGTCTTCATTTGCAGAACTGCTGTGAACGTAGCCCTGAAAAAAATGTTTTTGTCCCAACCCTGACAGCACCATCATGTTCTGTGTCATCGCGTCTGCATTTGCTCATAGTGGCAGCAAGACAACAGTGCCGCCATGAGGTCAGACTGGGAAAAAACCTGTTTAATCCAGCATGTTGTGAACAAAAGTAGATTAGAAGCTTGCATTTCTGGTGTAACTAGTGACCCTATAGACTTAAAGACTAGAGCAGAACATTAGAAAAACAATGCTTTTAATCATTTTTGATGGATTGACTCCAGAGCATTGTTTGAAGAATATCAGCGATTTTAGTGCTTAATTGAATAAACTGAATGAATAAGAAAGGGTGTAACATAGTCCTGGGTTAATCATATTAAACCTTTTTCAGACATGGGATATGTAACATCGCTGGCTTCATCAGTCCATTAAGGTCACTTTTCTGGTAATGTTCCTAATGCTCATAGTTAAAGGTGGTGTTGTACTTGACTACATTAAAGGGCTGTGATGAGAGCTCATGCCACGAGATCTTGCAATACTAAAACTTGACAACATTTCTTGTTGAAGCGAAAGCTGTCTCACAATATGAGTCCATAACAGAACCAGAGCCAGGATGACGAAGTGTGACGGCAAAGTGAAAATAGCATAGATCACACACAAGTTCAGTTAGGAGTTAGAAGCTCATGCATAGTTCATGCGCAGTTATTAGAGACTCATGTGAAATCATATCAGGAGAGAAGCCAGTGAGTTGACCATGTGGCAAAACCTTTTCCAGTGCTGGCATATTGCTGTCTTTTACTGCATATGATGATTCATATTCAGAAAGTAGGACTGAAGCCACGTTCGTCCACTTTTCTCTGCTGAGACCAATTCTATCCAACACTTCTGCCATTTTTCAGATGTTTTGATGCACCTCTCTGACGTAGTCGCCCAGCCGTCTCACAGCTACGTGCCTAGACCGAACTAATCGATAATTAAATTGGTTGCCAACTATTTCTGTTATTGATTAGTTCTTGCAGTCCTAATGTAATGTTTCTTACTACTTACACGAAAGCCGTTTTTCTGCTAGAATTGTTAGGCCCACTAACAACGTCCTACATCAGTTCGTTGTAATAGTGTGTGCTTGTCCGGTAATGTGACTGCATGTAGTTCAGACTTGTGCCATATTGAAAGTGATCCATGAATGTCACCAGAGCTGAGCTAGAAAGATTGCCACTGCAGCTTTTACGGTAAAGTAAACAGGGTGCTCATTCAGACATGAAGCTGACGTGTTCAGATGCTGTCAGATTAATGGAAAGGAGTGCGTATCTGAAAGGCGCTTTAGAGACTTAACTGTTCTTTTATAACTCCTTTGACATGGCGGGCACTGCTTTGTGGTTTTTCTGCTGTCACCAAGCCT